CTGTCTATCTAAAATATATCTCTGTTTGACTTTGAAAACATACCTAACATGGCCATAAATTTGATTGTTAGATGACTAACTACTAACCTGTATTTCTTAATTATCCTAAATAGTTTGTTATCGGGGGGCCTTGTGGAGAGACTGCTCCAAGGCCACTTCCAGGGTAATGCAAGAAAATCCATGAAGGTGGTGAAGGCTAGACTTTTTCTATCTGAGGGTATTTAGAAATAAGTTGCTATCTATCTGACTGGTAAAATAAGAAAACACACGTGCTTTCTGATATTAACTTTCTCTTTCACTTCATTTTAAGAATGGTCTCTGACTCTGTCTCCACACAGCTACATCCTATACATATCTTTAGATACATACATCTTTTCACATGACTACACATCTTTCTTTTACATACATTTCCCTTCTACATCTCTTTTCTATACAGCTTCATCTTCCTTGTCTCCACACAGTTACAAATCTCCACAGTTACCCTAAACCTCTCATTTACACAGCTCTCTCACCAGACAGCACTTTACACAGTTCGTAGGCACAGCTCCGCTACATAGCAGCTCTTTCACACAGCTCTCTCTCTCACACACACACTTCTACATTATTCACTCACTCTTTACTCACTCATTCTTTTTACCCACTTACTCCCTCACACTTCTCTCATGCTTCTTCATCTCTCCCTCAGTGCGCGTGCGCACGCACGCACACACACACACACACACACACACACACACACACACACACACACACACTCTGCAGCAGCTCTCACAGAGCTCTACACAGCCATCTCTCTCCACACCGCCACAACTGCTCCCTCACAGCCAAACTCTAGACAATTGTAAGTTACATTTTCAGGGCCCTACCCATTCTCAAAACACAAGATAAGTCACGTAGTTTCTCTTAGGCTAGTAATGTCACATTGACCCACGCACGTAACTCTAAGTTGGTGAGTAGTCCCAGACATTAAACAATTGACTGAACCTTAAGCAGCCAGGGTATGTGCAGAAAGAGAGCTATTGCAAGGACTGTGTCTTGATGTAAACAGCCTGGCCTTGATTTAGCAATAAACAACACCTGGGAATTAGTCTTTGCGTATATTCTGTAGGGGCAGCTTAGTCTGTTTTGGACTAGCTCTAAGGTCTTTGCAAAAGGCTGTCTTTGAGACTGAGAATACTGTTATTTTTCTGTGTCAGTAAAGAAGAATATTCTGGTAATATTTCTGTTCATCAGAATTATACAGCTTAAACAGAAATGATAACCTGATCATCCACAACTATGAGTGTGCCCAAAGATGGAAAACACACTACCAATGGACTGTGGAAAGCACCCCACAGCTGCTTTTATTAGGGAAGCATAACAATGGTACCCGAGAAAGTTAGAGACAGAAAACAACTGGTTTCCACAGCCAGTGACCCCACGGTTTTGCCAGGTGGGCCTCCCCAGCAGGGAGTTATACATCTGGTGGTTCAACTTGTCAGACACTAGTTGTCACCTGCTGTATACTCCCACGGCCCTTGGCAGTTTCTAATAATAACTTTCAAGGACTAGAAATTTACACTACATTGTTAAGTGAGCTGCATAGGCATAGTACTTTAAACAAGAGTAGAAACATATATGCAACATAACAAAAATAACCTTAAATGTGTATCAATATACAAAAATCCATACCAGTGTAAAATATTTAAGACTAGTGTAGTGGAATATTATTTTTAAAGGTGTTGCATTTGTTTATGCTGTAAAGTATCTGTTTAATGATGCAAAGCTGTGCTGCATTCTCTTATGTTGCATTTATTTAATTCTGTAAAGCTGTGTTACTTTGCCTGTCTAAAACACCTGATTGGTTTAATAAAGAGCTGAATGGCCAATAGCTAGGCAGGAGAGAAAGGATAGGCGGGGCTGGCAGGCAGAGAGAATAAATAGGAGAAGACGGCGAAAGAGGCGGCAGGAGTGAGAAAAGGAGGAGAGGAGGACACCAGCGGCCAGCCACCCAGCCACACAACCAGCCATGGAGTAAGGAGGAAAGAAAAGTATATAAAACAGAGGGAGGTAAAAGCCCAGAGGCAAAAGGTAGATGAGGTAATTTAAGAACAATTGGCTAGAAATAAAGCACACTAGGGCTGGGCATTCATAAGTAAGAACAGGACTCTATTTGCTTGGGAGCTGGGTGGCAGGCCCCCAAAGAGTTTAAAAAAAAAACCAAACAACTACAGACAAGTAGTTGTACTTTAGTTTAAAAGTAGATTCAATAATCTACAAGCCCACCCCTTCCTTTCCCTCCCTCCTCCCAGCACACGGCTGGCCTGAGGTGGCAGTACCTGAGCTGTGTCCACACCCATCCTCTGCACTGAGAATGCCCAGAGCACAGGGACTCCTTTTGTGGACACTGAGTGACCCCAAAGAGGGAGTCTGGAAAGACCCCTGGGTGTGAACTCAGCTGGCCGGTACACTGAAAAGTGGCCAGGCATGACGGCCTCTGTGTCTGGCTTCCTGAACTGACCTGTTTTCCATTTTCCTAGTTATAATATTGGTGGAATGTAGGACAATAAAATCAAAGACCAGGTCACATTTCTCAGTTCCCATAATCCTTTCTCCCAGGTTGCTAGTAGCAGTTCACGGCTCATCTCCAACTGTTGCTCACTGTCCATCTGCGATGGATGGACACATACAAATGTGAGGTCCTCTCTTTACTGATTGTGGAACAGGCAACCATTACCAAGTCACAAGTGCCCTTTCTTCATGTGCCTGTTTCTTCACTTATTCGTTCATTGAATGAATACTTGTCAAGCATGTCCTGTGCACCATGCGAGCCCTGCTGGTAGGCATCTACCATCATCAATTTCTTACTCCAAGGACAGTCTGTGCCCCTGGGGAGACATGGCCTTTTTCTGACCTACTTTTTTGAATGGGGGCATGGAAACGGACTGACTCCCATTTGCTTACATAATTACTGGACAAGACTCACAACCATGGCTGCTAAGTACGTCTGGACAGGCTGTGCATTGCACAACTTCAGAGGGAGTTTTGCAATGGAAATCCTTCGCGGGGGCCTAGAATTGGTAGCTTGTCATTGCTCAGATGCCACTGAGACTGCTGTAGCTCTACTGGAAAGGGTCCCAGTGTGCTTGAGGCTGGGAGCTGGACTTACGGAGCACCTTCTCCAGCCCAGCTGATAGGCCAAAGTGCAGAATGCTGACCACCCTCTGCAGTGTCCCTTGAAGTTTCCCTTGTGTGTCCTCATGCCACTCATACAGCTTCTGACTCCACCAGGCGTCATTCACCATGCAAGCAGAAGACACTCACGGCCACGTTCCTCAGCCCAGCTAGTCTTTACTGGGGTCCACTGCACTGAGAATCAGCAGCTTGACCAGAATAAAGATTCCTCTTCCTCTGGACGAGTTTCATGAGAGCATGAAGAAACATGGGGAAATTAAAAAGCAAAGCAGAAACAGGGTAGCCCAATGACAGATGGAAACATGGGCCATCAAGTGTTTCAAAGAGCACTTCCCTCCTGCACATCAACCTTCCAGCCCCAGGTCCTAATCACCAAGAGCAATTTCATCAAAGTCATCTACAGGCTTCAGAGGCAGGCATCTAGCAACTTCTCCACTCCAGTGAGCAAGCAGGCTGTACTTGAACCATCCCTTTGAGTCTTAGCATGGTGCTAAGCTGAACATGAGGGATGCCCTGGTAAAGCAAGGCTGGGCTCAGATATCAGGAGCCCTCTGCTCCTCCCCCAGGGCAAGATGCTTCCCTTCTGGGCCTGGATTCCATGCTTGATGGAGCCAACAGTTCTAACCACAGCACACACAACGTAGGGAGAAATAGAACTTTCTGTGCCTCAAATGGGGCCAGAAGGGGAGGCACAGCCTGACCTTGGCAGGAGGGAAACACATGAGTCTCTGGGGCCCATAGGAAAAAACTCAGGCAGGCAATATGATGCAAGGGATGCCTGCATCTATCTACATGCACTCTGAGCAAGCCCAGTGTGCTCCGCACAGCTCAGGAGCGCCAACAGCTGTGAGCCAGGAATCACTGTCTGGGCTGCCTGGAAGCCAGACCAGCAGCTTCTTGGCCGAGACACATGCTCTGTTTGACTTTAAGAGACTGTAATTCCTTTTGGGTGTGTGTGCACACACGTGTGAGCACATGTAGCTGCCACGCACATATACGTCTACATGTGGTTTTCAAGATCATAGTGTGTCCTCCTCCTTCCATGTGTGATCTGTGCTAAACAGGACAGAGGTTTTCAGCTGATGAGAAGCAAGATCTTAGTTCCTTCCCTTTGTGTGAGCCATCAGTAAGGCCGTGGGGGTGTAGATACTGGAATGGGGGACAAGGAGGTAAGGATTTAGTATGTATGTATATTAAAATAATTAAGTGCTGTCTAGATTCCAAGACGGATATTATCCACATCAGTTTTGTGGAGATTGGAGTTTGGGGGTTATAAGAATGGTCCACACACTTTTTTACCCAGTCTTCTTCCAAGGGTGCCCCACCTCTTCCCATAACGGATACCACTGGGAAAAGGTGAAGGGCTATATAGTGAGTGGCCACTTGCAACACGGATTTCATCAGTGCAGGGACTTTCCAGTACAGCCAGTGAGTGGAGCTGCCGTGACGGTGCCACGTGCATTTGCCGACGCTTTGCTGAGCACTTTGTGTTCTGTTGAGTTCCTAGTTCATTCATCCCATGGACACTGCATAGCGTGTCCTGATGTTGTGAACGCTCACAGCAAACAGGTGCAGGGGAGGACGGGTGCTGTTATGAGCCCCGCCCCCTTTCTTTTGACTTAATTCATTAAATTAGGACCAGAACTAGTGCTTAGGCCCTCTCTGCCTGGAGAACATTTAAATTCATCCTCTTGAGGGACTTGCACCTGCACTAGTCTGTCTGAAGGTGTTCTGGAGATATGGAAGTATGTGATACTTCTATGGAGCACACAGGATGCTCCCAGGAAGGACCAGAGGGCCTTTCTAAATTGCCACCACTCTCCCTGCAGAGTGGAGACAAGGAAGTGGGGCGAGGATGATCCTACAGGATGAAGATCTCACCACCAAGATTGAGAATGACTGGAAGAGACTCAACACAATAGCCCACTACCAGGTGAGCTGACCGCAAAAGTCAGGAGCTGGCCAAGTAGGTTGTAAATGACAGCCACTCAAGGTTGGATGCCAAGTCCCCAGTGCATTCTTCACCAGCAATCCTTGATGACCCAAGGGAAGCTGATGTCACCCAGTCAGAGACGCCTAGCCTCTCTGGAGATAGGATGGTGACATGCATGCTTCTTGGAAGGTGTGGGCAAGTTCCCCAAGGACCCTTGCTTAGAAGGCCTCCTGAGCATTTAAGGCTGGATGATCTCCAGAAAGCCTAGGGAGGGAAAAGTGAGCAAGGGGCTCCTACCAGAACTTGCTCCATACAGAAGCCATAAAGTAGCTAGTACTAAGGTCTTCTTAGTCTTGTCTTATCAAAAGGAAAAAGAGTAGTCTCCAAATCCCAAGTTCCCAGCAAGGTGCTAATTGTCCCCCATTTCCCCAAATAATCCTAATTTGTCCTTATTTCCTGGAATGGGTGGGAAGCATTTCCATGCCCAGGCCCTTAGAAACCTTTACCCTGTAGGTGCCGGATGGTTCTGTGGTGGCTTTAGTGTCCAAGCAAGTGACAGCCTATAATGCAGTGAACAACTCCACAGTCTCCAGGACTTCAGCAAGTAAATATGGTAAGATCTCATCAGGTGTGAGGGGTGGGAGGTAGGTGAGCAGGTGTTATCAACAGACCTCCTTGACTTAGGTAGAAGATCTGGTCAGCTGACCATTGGAGAGGAAAGACCAGGGTGGGACAGAGGTAACTGGTTCCACTAGCTCTGAGACATAAATATGTACTTTGTCTGCAGACAAAAAGAAACTTAGGAATGAATTGGTAAAGGGTGTGTCATGTAAGCCTGGGGCTCTAAGATGATCCCCAAAACCCACTTAAAATTGCCAGACATGGTGGTGTGTGCTCTGGTGGTGTAATCTCAGCTCTGGGGAAGTGGAGATAGGGGACCTCGAGCTTACTGACTAGCCAGCTTAGCCTAATGGTGAGCTCCCAGCCAGTGAGATTATCCATCTCAAAAATCAAGAGAGATGGCACCTAGAAATAACACAAATGTTGACCATACATGCATGCTCACCATAGATACGCATATACATACACAAATACAGAGAGAGAGAGAGAGAGAGAGAGAGAGAGAGAGAGAGAGAGAGAGAGCCTAACCTTCATGAGGTCATACAGTCTATAATTCTTACCTTCTCACATCATCTCACATCAAGTTCACAATAATCTAGTGAATTAAATAATTATTTCCCTCTATTATTTATATTGTTAAGTTATAACTCAGCAGCACAGAGGTTAAGTGATTGGTAAAGGTCACACCATTATTATGCAGAGGCGTAAAAGGGAAGGAGATTGAAAGGGGCTCTGAATATAAGGTAGAAGTTCCATAGATGACCTGCTCTGTCACTTATGTGCTGGGGGACACCTGACCACCCTGAGCAGTGACATTCTTGTTGTAAAGCAGGGATTAGAAAACAAAGAAGACCAACATCACAGGGTATTGTGAATGATAAAGGGGTGAACATGTAGGCTACACATGGGCATAGTGGGACATCATCCTCTACCTGGCCAGTTCCCATTTTACCAAATAGTTTACCATTAACCACAACTCAAAATATAGGAAGGAGGTTCAACAAATAAGTTAGAAGAAGTGGCCCAGGACAGAGGGGAACAAAGGCAAACTGATGCTCTGGTGAGCCCTCACCTGACCAAGATTCATTAAGGGAGACAAGCTACCTGCTCTTACATGTGCGTTTAATTGGCCACACACGCTAGAGGACTTGAAAGCATGCACAAGGAAAAGTGTAAGAGAAGTACAAGCTTATAGTTCTACAAATTGAATAATTAAGGGTTGACTCAATGCCAAGTACAGGGGGGAGGGCGGCCTAAGTGGGTGGAATTCACTACAGATAATTCCTGGAGGTGGCAGGAAAGACGTAAGCATTTCAGGGAATGTGCCACATGGAGGCAAGGTGACAGCGCCAGCCAGTGCCAGGAGGGATCAGACAGTAGTGGCCGTGGCTGGGGAGAGAAGCATGCTGTGAGTTGCTGAGTACAGGATGACACCGACTCCCATGTACGGGGCTGTGTTCTCTGTGTTGGCAGAAAACATGATCCGGTACACAGGCAGCCCTGATAGCCTCCGTTCCCGAACACCCATGATCACCCCTGACCTGGAAAGTGGAGTCAAGCTGTGGCACCTGGTGAAGAACCATGAGCATGGAGACCAGAAGGAGGGCGATCGGGGGAGCAAGATGGTGTCTGAAATCTACCTGACACGACTATTGGCCACCAAGGTATGGGACGTGAGAGCAGTGTGCCGGCAGCGTGTGGTCACAGGAGGGGCCTTCATCTGCCGTGAAAAAACTGGGGGCTGAGTGGTGGCTCAGTGGTAAAGAGCTCGTTACACAAGCATGAGAACCCAAGTTTGATAGCCTCAAGTCCTCATTTTTAAAAAAAAAAAAGAAAAGAAAAAAAGCTGTGCCCTGTGCCTTGCTCGTGCTGGGGAAGCTGAGAAAGGAGACCGCCTGGGGTTTGCTGGCCAGTCAGTTTAGCCAAATCACAAGCTCCAGATTCAGCAAAAATCCTCGAAAACTGTGGAGAGGGATCAAGGGAGACACTTTGAGGTCGCCCTCTGGCTTGCGTGTATGTACACACATGTGCACGTACACCTCTACCCACGCATGCCCACACACCACACGTACACATAATTGCTAGCTAGCACTGTTGCTAAGTGTGTGCCAGCCCCTTTTGTTGTCCCCTGGCATCAGGTACTGTCATGAGCCTGGGGAGCCTTAGGATTGAGCGGCAGGATTCTACTCAACCTGTCACTCGAGGCAGGTCTAAGAAGACATGGGCACACAATCTGAAGCTCTATTCCCACCCTCCTTACGCACTTTTTCTCAGCTGCAGACACTTGCTACGTGTATTCCCCTTCCCTCACCATCGCTGAGGCTAGAAACCGGGGCTGAGTCCCTAGCTTTGCTGATACCATTTCTAACTCTGATGCTGGGGATTCTTCCATGCCTACGGTTCTAGCCTTTCTCGTCAGAGTCTGGATTCTCTGGTCTCTCTGTGGACCCGGATGGTCATTAGCCAGGGTGGGTAGTGGCCAAACAGAACCAGCAGATTGTACTTGTCAGCTCTGACCAAGCATGCTCATTAGTATTTTCAAAAGTGATACAATGGTACTGGCAGAGGTGTGTAGCCAAACCCTGTAGCTGGCAGAGGAAGGTGGTTTTTCTCTCTGTCATCTGTCTTCTGTGTTCTGTGCACAGAGGAAAGGTACAACTGCCAGGGACCTGTGAAAGGTGAGAAGGTCTGGTGCACAGTGTCCCCAGTGTCGTGTTTAGCAGGGAAGCAGAGCATTGACTTTGCCCCATCCCCAAGGCATCTTTTCAAACTCCTCCTCAGAGCTGCCTAGGCTGGGCTGGATCTAAATGTGTCTGTCCCCTTCCCCAGGGCACACTGCAGAAGTTTGTGGATGACCTCTTTGAGACTATCTTCAGTACAGCCCACCGTGGCTCCGCTCTGCCCTTAGCCATCAAGTACATGTTTGACTTCCTTGATGAGCAGGCTGATAAGCATGGCATCCATGACCCACATGTCCGCCATACCTGGAAAAGCAACTGGTGAGTAAAGGGTGGAGAGGCCAGTGACCTGCCCACCCAGGCCTGCGTCAGGGAGACCTGGCCACTGTCTACCTCCTATCAGGGTCTCTCCTCAACCCTAATCAGCCTCTGTTCTTCCCTATCTTCTCACTTCCCCCTCCTCTAGTCTGTCTTCGTACCTTCTTCCAGCCAGTTTTTTAGTCCACAAACTATACGAATCCAATGGGTAAAAGATAATCTATTCTATCACAGCCAGACCACTGTCACATCTTGCTGCTTTCTGGGTGTGGGACAATATGTCCAACACTGAGGATCTTAGACCAGTCAGACAGGGTCTCTGTCCTCATTAAGTTGGCAGATGCAGATATGGAATAAGAGAGACAATTGTCTATATATGTGGACAAACACTAGCATAGAAAATGCATTAATTATTGGACAGGGCCGCTGAGTAATAGCGTTTCATAAAGTCTTGTCAGTAGGGTTTTGATGCATGCGCAGATGGCGCCTGGATTCCAATTCCACCCCATAAGCTTTTTTTTCCCTTCCCCAAACTCCTTTCCAAAGGCCGCTAAGGATCATTTTGTGTTCCCTGGAGGCCACAGGATTTTCTAACTACTGATAACCCTGCAAGCATCTCCACTGTGGTCCCCCTTCTCCTTTGAATGCACAGTATCCTCCCCACCATCTGTATATAGGGAGTGTTTCATTTGAGGTTGAAGTCACAAGGCCAAGCATCAGTATTCAAGACAGGATGCAGAACCTTGAGGAAATGGGGCTCAGTAAATATTGATGAGATGTGGGCAGTCATGGCCTGCTTGAGAATTCTACCTGTGGCAGAGCTAGCGGATGTTTAGTCTCATCCTCTAGAACTGAATTCCTGTCACCTTTAGATGGTCTCCTTTCCAGGCCATTCTTCCCCAGCTTTTTCTTCTTAAAGTAACATAGGTGTGGTACCAAGTGCTATAACTGCTGGGATTGGCCATGCCGCAGGGCACAAAGCAGGCACCCTGATGCCCATTTGTGCCTGATGCTCAGTTTTCAGGGGCCCAGACCTGAAAACCGAGGAGCCAGAAGCCAGCCTGGGATATCTGTGCTAGTCTCCTGAGCATGCTGTGGTCTTTCCCTCTTCCACTTACAGAGGAATACTAGCCCCCAAAGAGGCTCAGGCCATGCCACAGAGTCCTTTCCATCCTTCTAAAGCAGGGCCCCTAGAATCTGGGTTCCATTCTGTGCAGCCACTCTGGTGAGGTGGCTTCCATCTCTCAAGTCCTGTCAGCGTGTCTCTTGAGGGGAGTCTGAGAGGCAGTACCTACATCTGACAACGAAGCTTTACCTAGTGCAGGCCCCTTCCCATGGAGCAGGTGCTCCACCAAGCCCAATGGTGGTAGCCAGGGAGACATGATTTTGCCAGCCGCCTCTAGGTGCCAGCCTCCTTTCTGAGGCATCCCAAGATCTCAGGTGCTGCAGAGACATGGACTGGGCAGTGGAAAGCTTAGGAATTGAAGCACACTCCACTTACTGTAGAAAGAACTACACCAGCTTCAAGTTCTCCCTTAGAAGGGCTCTCCTGCCCCTGGCCTGATGCCCTGGTACCTTGGACAAGATGCAGTTGGGAATGATCAGCGCTGCCTGTGGACTAGAGTTCATTGTCCCTGCTGAGGGCATTGTCTCTTTATTCCTGACTCAAGGTGTGGCTTGCCTGCCTCCCCACCCCTTCTTCCCCAGTTCCCTGCAGGTTCTCCGTTAAATAACACTCCTTCTCATTTAGCCAGAGTGGCTGCAATCAGCCAGAGATGATGTTAATAATATGCTAATATTTCATTAGGCAGGGGCCTCAGTGGTGCCTCTGCTTCCTGTGTAGTACACCTGCCTCCCGACTGGCTTGAGGGACAGGGGAAAAACAGGCACTGCAGCCATGTGGGTTCCCAGCACCTCTGATCTGAGTGGGACTTAGGGAAACGCAGGGAGACTGCAACAGAATTGACTGGGAGAGAAGCTGAGTCTCTTATTCAGAGATTCAAGCCCGGAGATCATAACCACCTTTTAGGGAGGTTGAGAAGCTACTGTGAGTCTCATGTGCTGTCATTCCATTGACTTTCTACCCTGGATTTCCAGTGATGAAGCAAATGACAGACACCAAATATTAGCAAACCTCAGTGCGCCTGCCCTAGCCCTATGTGGCACTCATTGTAGAGACTTAGTAAATGCTTGTTGATTGATTGGCATCTGCGAATGTCAGGTCTTCCTGTATTTACAGTGTTTGTTGTTTGCATTATACAGACTGGCTGCTGGCAGATAGAACAAGAGCAAAAATATTGTATCCAGTGCCTTGAAATAATGCAATTCAAAGATGTTACGTTCTAAGAGGCAAGCCAAACACACGCGGGCATTGTAACTATCACCAACCGTGAGCACAGCCACCAAAACAACAATAAAACATCAGGGGAAGAGGCGGGAGGTAAAGAGGTGGGAGCAGAGAGAAAGGAGAAAGCCATGCCTGTACTGTCCCCCTCCTTACCAGCAGCTCAGCTGGCTGGTGGGAGCTGCAGGGCTGGAATGGGCAGGGAGAGCACAGCCAAAGAGGCTTTGGGTAGCTCCTCCCCTGCAAGCCTTCTGTCTAGCAAATGCAGTGACTACAGAACCAGGCCACACTGCATAATGTTCTCCTCTTTGTCTCTGTATGTGGATTCCCTACCTGCAACCCATCCAAGGAATACACCTATGCATGGTTTTAAAATAAATCAAGCATGGGCCCCAGGGATGTTTGAGCCCTAGGTTTGTTCCCTGACACCACATAAAACTGTGTGTTGTGGTGCGCACCACGTGTAACCTCTGTACTTGGGCGGTAGAGGCAGAAGGATCCTTGGCTACATAGTAAATGTAAGGACAGCCTGAGTTACATGAGATCCTGTCTCAAAAAAAGGGGGGAGATGGCTTGGTTGGTAAAGTGCTTGCCATGCGTGCATGAGGACCTGAGTTTAATCCCTAGCACCCATAGAAGGTGGTGGTTATGGTGGTGTGCACTTATAAGTTAGCACTAAGGAGACCAAGGCACTAGGTACTGACTGGAAGACAGGAGATGAAGGATGGGATGGGACACTATGGGTTAGATAAGGGGCTGGTGCTATGTGGCAGCCTGGTGGTAAAAGATCATTTGGTCACATCCACCCTTAGCGCCAGTTCTTTTACCAGGCAGGAAGTAGCCCATGACACTAGACAGGAAGCAAAGGTGTGACTTCTGCCAAATCATCCAGTAAGCAGTCAGATGCAAAACCTAGATTCCTTAAAGTTCACCAAAGGCATGGTCCCAGCATTAGCTAGATAGGAATAAAGACCCAAATTCTGCTTTGAAGCATGCACATGGCCGACTCCTCTATCAAAAGGAAGGTGCAGAATCCCAGGTCACAATTATCACTTCCTCTTAATTTCCTCCAGTGCTACATCTCTATATGAGACCCCAACCTTGCTGATTTCCTGTATGCTGAATAGACCCACGTCCCTTTTCATCCCGTTTACCTTCCATGGCAGCCACAGATGGTTCCTAAGCTCCGTGAAATCTAGCCAGTGTTCCTTCTCAGAACTTTCCACCAGGCTACACCCCACTACCCCATCACCCCTGACCAGCTGCTGCTTCCCTCCACACAGCCTGCCCCTGCGGTTTTGGGTGAACATGATCAAGAACCCACAGTTTGTGTTTGACATCCATAAGAACAGCATCACGGATGCCTGCCTCTCGGTGGTGGCCCAGACCTTCATGGACTCCTGCTCCACATCGGAGCACCGGCTGGGCAAGGACTCCCCCTCCAACAAACTGCTCTATGCCAAGGATATTCCCAGCTACAAGAACTGGGTAGAGAGGTGAGTATGGCCCATGGAAATCTGAGGGTACCTGGCTGGAGCAGGCCACAACCCTGGACCAGAGGGTCCTCCCCTGCAAGTAGGACAAAGCTTCCAGACTAGTCACTGTCACAGCTGATCCTGCAGCTGAAACACCCACAACTCATGGCCTCCACATTGAAGCAAGCACTGGGAACCATGGCAGAGCTTAGTAGGTGACCCACATCCCTATATGGAACAGCATGGATCTTAGTGACTGCAGTGTCTTTTTGGCCCAGAGGGAGATGTGATCCCTGATCTTCTCCCCCCAACACACACACACACACACACACACACACACACACACACACACACACACACACGCTTAGCATATTTACCCTGCATATGCATAGACCATATACACATGTATTCACAATATTGTATGAATGCACAGGTACCATGAACACAAGTATACACTGTATATACATAAAACCATAAATGTATACATACACATATCTTCATGCTATTCATGTCCATTTACATGTATACCATACACATAGTACATACGTGTGCATTCATAGCACACATCTTCCCATCCATCCACCCATCATTTCTCTAGCCCTCCAGCCCACTTCTGCCTCTACGTGTGTGTTGTGCACATGGGACACATTGGACCTGACCACTCCCCCTTGCAGCTTCCACATCCGAGTGTCTAACAGGAGCCACAAAGCTGGGGTTGAAGGAATCAAGGAGAGAGGCCTTCATTCTGCTGGGTCTGGAGACATCAGTCATCCACTCACAATGGCCTCTGAAAGCCACATTTGGGGGCATCACAGCCAGAGGCTCAAAATGGCTTGCTTTCATGTCTTCATTCCCACCCTCTGACCATAACTCAGCTGAAACCTCCTTCTAGCTTCTTTCAACCCATCCCACTGAGATTCATGAACATGAAAGAATCCAGCTTTCTGGAACCTTTCCCTGAACAGCAGCTCCCTGAGCTCTGATGTGGGGCCCCCAGGGATTGGCATCCCACCTAAGTTGGGCAAAGCCCATCAAGGAGAGTGAACTGAGGCCAGGGATGGGAACCAGCCCCTCCTTGTCAGAGCAAATGGCAGCTAGCCTTCCAGGTTGCCAGGGCTAGCCAGCACTGGTATGGGAGATGTTCCATGATGGGGGCTGAGGGGATGTTCAGAGCCTCTCTGAAGAGGCGGCTCATTGTAGGCAGAAATCCTGTAAGTTCAAGAAGGGGGTCAAGGCTGACCTTTCTGTTCCTCCTGTGCAGTCAGCTGATGAGAACACTTGTTTGAAGTTCATTGTCAGGGCTTTATTGCGTTCTTAACAATCGATGAGGCATCTCGGCTGAGGTCCCAGCATGAAGGCCAGCTTGGCAGGAGTGAGAAGGAAGCAATTGTATACATGGCAGAGAAAACTCGCTGCAGGGTCATGGTCAGGCTGGGGGCAGGGCAGACTGGCTAGCTGTGGGCTGGGCAGAGCCCTGGAGCGGGTGGAAGTATTAGCTAAGCCCTGCAGAGAGGGTGGGACCACTTAACAGCAGGCAGCCTGGGGCTGAGAACAAGGCAGAAGGCCAGTGACTGAGTAGCCTGTAGCCACTCACTTTGCCTCCACCCATCCAGAACTTTCCAAAGATAAGGCCATGTGGTTGATCCACCCGGGGGCTAGCAGAGGACCACAGACATGCCCTCATGCCCTGGTCCAGTCCAGTCTCCTCAAGAAAAGAGTGTGAGAGATGAGACCACATGAGGGGTGTGTGTGTGTCGGGGGGGGGGGGTGTCACATCAGAGGGAGGACTACAAGGCACATCCTAGCCAGCATGTCACCCACCACCTTCCGATGAGAAGGTTCCAGTCCCTGCCTTTTGCCCTCTCCACTCTTATTTTTCCAACTCTCCCCAACCTTTCTCATCTCTTCTCCTGCCACACACACATATGAATTCTTCCTCAATATTCTCTTTGGAGAAGTGTATGACTCAAGTACCCCTCAGGAGGCAAACTATTGCAAGGACAGATGTTGAGCATCTTCTGTTTCTGGCATGCAAAAGGTCCTTTCACTGTGTAGACAATGATCTCTAGCCTAGGCTACTATGCGGTCAGGGACCGTGAAGGCAGCAGTCGGAGCCTGTACCATTTGTAAGAAGCGTGACAGTTTCACACCTGGGGAACAGGAGCAGCAGGGGCCTTCACTTCTGCTGACAGTTGTGTCCTCACTGTGGGAACCTGAATTTTCCATCCTGCTCAGAGGCTCTGGTTATCTACGGATGACAGAGTAGAACTATCTGGACAAAAGCTTTGGACACAGCCATGTTTTGTGAGCTGCTGGCCATAGTCCTGAAAGTGAGAGAAAATACTGCCCATGTTTCTCAGGAATAGGACTGCAAAGATAACCTTTCTGGCTTGGTAGTTTCAGGATTCGTGAAGGCACAGTGGTACAAATCTCCTTGGCAATGACAAGGTCGGGACCCATCAGTGAAACCTCTGTTCTTCTGCTGTAAAATGGAATGTTGGCATTTATTAGATTCAGATATAGTTTATTCATGGCCATGAATGGAGACACCTCCTGAACCTTTACTGCCTGGAATGTCACTAACTCACCCGAACCCTGTGTTTTGGAGCACTGAGACAGGAGTTTAGGGTGGGGACCGACTAGTAAAGATGATGGTGGTCTTCTGGGGTAAAGGAACCAAATGAAGCAGGTCAAGGATACGAGTACTGTGGGCTTCTGAGGACAAGAAGGGGATGGGAGAGAGTGTTGTGAAGGGCAGCAAGGAGTCCAGATGAACTCAGGGCAGCACATCTTCCAAATGTCCTCAAGCTGCTTCCTGAAAGGCCTCATCGTTCAACCTTTGTCTTAATCTTGCCAGGCAGCAGGCCAAGGACCAATAGCTCCTTGCCAGCCACAGCAGGATCCACTCAACAGGCAGTGGGCACTGGGGTCTGCTGCAGGGAATGGGTTTCTGAGGCCACAGGCTTTTCCTTCTGACCATCCCTTTCCCTAGGCAGAGACCAAATGTCGTCTTCCCTGAAGACACAGTGGCAATCCTGGCAGACTGTAGCCCCAAGGCAAACAGCCATCTTAGCCCTTGCCTGCCTGGAAAGCTGCTGGTCACAATTTGAGCTGTCATTCAATGTAGACCCGGAGCTTATGGCTCAAGGAGGCAAGAAGCATTTCTGACAACCTGTCACCCAAGTACTGGGCACTGCTGGGGACAGGTGGGGGTCAGGGAAATGGCGTGGGAATGGGGCAGGGGCACCCTGTCAGAACAGGAAGGGATATGAGCTGAGAAAGACACAGAGCAAGGCCAGTAAGACAGCATGGGGGTCACCCTGTGAAGGAAGCCTGGGTCCTTGGAGCTCTGAGGGCGCTTCCCTGTCACCAGTACTCACAAAACCTTGAAGGACTGTCCCTCCTTAAATACCCTGTTGACACCTCACCTGCCTTACCTTATCCCTTCCCTGGAATCTCTTCTCCCCTCCCCCATTCCTCAGCCCTGCAGCCCAGGGATTGGGTGTAGCATGGGCCAGCACCTGCAATGCCTCTGGACTTGCCAGGGACTCCCCATCTTTCCAGTTGCCTCTTTTCTTTTCCTGCTACCTACAACCCCAAAGCACATTGTAGAGGGTGAAAAACGTGGCCGTGTTAGGAGCAGAGAGACCTCTCACTTCCTCATTAGGAAACTGTGCAGCTCTCCTCTGGCGGGGCACTTGGAGGTCTGGTGCATAAAATGTCAAATTGCAGAAATTAAAAATGTAAATGCTGGCATCTAATTAACCAGTTGACAGCAGTGCACAGCTGCAAGTGACAGTGACTGATTGCCTTCTGCCAGCCTCTCTCTCCCAGCAGCCTCTGCCCCTCTCTCCCTAACCTCCAGAGAGCACGAGAGCCACCAGGGAAGAGCAGCTGTTTAAGAGGAACCCTCCAGTCCTGCTGGAGAGGCTCAAGGCAAGCCGGAGACCTATGCCAGGAGCTGGGAACAAAGTAGATGCTCTGGGCAGAAGCCTTCTGACTCTTGGGTCTTCTCTCTCCACCCTCCCAGATCCTTCCCTCTGGGCCTCCTATGTCAGAGCTGCAGAGAGCTCTCCCCGGCTGTGGCATGGAAGCCCAGAGGGGACACTACTATGATCCCCAGGTGGTCACAGCATAGGCTCTCACTGCTTGGTGCTTCCATGTCTCCTGAATACTCTCTGTATAGATTCCAGCTCCTCTCTGTCTCCCACCCCTCACAGATATTACTCAGATATTGGGAAGATGCCAGCGATCAGTGACCAGGACATGAATGCGTACCTGGCCGAGCAGTCGCGGATGCACATGAATGAGTTCAACACGATGAGCGCACTCTCAGAGATCTTCTCCTACGTCGGCAAATACAGTGAGGAGGTAAGCTTTGCCCTGCCCTGCCAGGGCCTGTAGAGGCAGAGATGGGGGACATGTCTGAATGCTTCATGTACAGAAATAGTCCCACGGATGCCTCCCCCATGCCTCTGTTAGAGAAATTCTACCAGCCAGACCTAGGACAGCACTGTAGGACTGAAATGGGCACTGAGGATGATCCAATCCTTATAACTGCATCAACTCTTATTCTTCTCAGATATAGAAATTTGTTTCTTTTATTCCTCTCTACCCCTTGCCCTGGGACCAAATCCAAGGCCTCCCACATGCTAGGCGAGAGTTCTACCACTTTTTATTTTGAGATAGTCTCCATAAATTGGTCAGACCAATCTTGAGTTCACTTTGTACCCCCAGACCCCAGCCTGGCCTTGAACTTGCCTCCTGCCTTAGCCTTCCTTTCTAGGAACACAGTGTGCCCCACTAGACCTGGCTTATTCTTTCTCCATTATTGCCTTTAAATTCTTTTCATTTTCCTCTCTGATCCAATTCTCTTTGAGCATGGACTTCCTCGCTCTTATGGATGACACAGTGTATTATGGCATCCTGTGGAGTAGAACAGACCAGAGCAGAATAGAAACAGAATGGAATAGGATGGTGTCAAATGGAAGAGAGTGGAATAGATGGACAGAACAGAAAAGGATGGACTAGAACCAGAATAGAATAGGGACAGAGAGCATATTTTTCACTGTTGTGTTCTCTGTTTTAAAGCACCACCTGCGTAACTGCCACTATAGATTCTGCCTTCATTCTGGTTAACATAAAGGTGCTATGAGAGTTGCTTGGCTATGCAGACACAGACTTAAGTGGTTTGGGATCCAGAGTCCCTGCATCCAAGCACAGCATAACAGCCTTCTTGGAGCAGAAGGCAGTGCCTTATCACCCAGAGAAGTTCAAGAACCCTTTTCAAGGACTCCAGCAGGTCCAGAGCCCAGTGTCCTGCAGGCCATGAACAACATATTATATGACCCTCATGTTAACAGAAAGCGGTGGTGAGGCCCTTAGGGGAGGGACCGCTACCACCAGTTTGCAGACCAGTTATGGTCCAGGGAAAACTGTTTGTGGTGGTAATGCTAATAAGGATGTTCTCTGATACAGCACTGTAAGTCTCCGACTTCATCTTGGAAAGGACCATCCCTTCGCCTACCAGAACACTTGTCTACCTTTAGTATCACAGCAGTAAAGGACAATTCCTGGCCAGCTCAGTAGGCAGCTCTAGCATGATGTCACCAATTAAGTATGCGTTAATTAGTCATAAAATCCGAAACCCAAGGAGCCTCCAGGTCTCCCTAAGCTCAGCTACCTTTCTTTGCTCTCCAACCCTCATCCCTGTCCTTCAGACCAGAGAACATCCCACCCTGCTTGTCTGGTGCCTCCTGTGGAGCAGGCATAGTGCCTAGGGTGCTCATGTGTGTGACCTGGCCTTATCCACTAGACCCAAGCAAAGCAGAGGTAGATTCCAGAGAAAGAAGCATGATCCTTCAGAAAGATCATATTTCACCCCAGATCACCAGGCTGGCAACTGGCAGAGCCATGACTCAATCTAGCATGTCTTGAGTCTCTTTGTGGAAAACATCCCAATCACCCATCATTGTCCTCTGTCAATCACCTGACCTTAGAAATGGGTTTTGGAGACCTTAGCCACTACGAGCCAATTATAGAATAGGGATGGAAAGCATAGTCAGCCTACAACCTTATTCCTTTAGGGATATCTGGCATTTAACAAACAAGTTAACTGACTTTCTAAATGTGGATATTTGGGCCCCCAAGGAGCTGCTGGGGAAGCCCTTCCTTATATTGGAAGGAAAGGTAGGACTTGTTAATATCAGAAAAGCACATTCTCTGCCCCCCCAGCACCCCACTTTTGTACTCACTATGGAGCTCCCCAGATGCCATTGAGACTGTAGATGACAGTGGCTTCTCTGGATAGGCATCTTCAGCAAAGCCTCTGCTCCTACCAGTTGTCTCTCACAGACAATGGGATGCACACATTTTCCAGATGTGTGATAGTGTATTTGTTGGTGTCCTGTGCACCCATATGCCTCCCACCTCTCCTTACCCATGTCACTCAGGCTGCTTGCTTTCACAGTAGTGCCAGTAGCCGCAGGTATATCAATGCCCTGACAATAGCCATGCTGTCTTTATGTACCCTAAAAACCCAGGTACCCATACCCGACTAGTAATCTTCCATTTTGTATTCTTCCCCAGATCCTTGGACCCCTGGACCATGACGACCAGTGTGGAAAGCAGAAACTGGCTTACAAACTAGAACAAGTCATAACCCTCATGAGCTTAGACAGCTGAGAACTGTCCTTCCAGGGCCATCCTGGAGGGAGGGACACACCAAGCCGTGCCTCAGTCTAGATTATCATCTTTACCAAGTGCAAGTTCCGACAGGCATCAGCAGCAACCCCCGAGCAGCGCCGTCTCTCCTTTTATTTCTCTCCCTCTTCTGTCTCTCCCTCTTTCCGGAGTTCCATCTCTTTCAGTTGCTCCACCAGTGTGATTGGACCAGGTCACTGACCCTCAGTCAGTCCAGGGATGGCCAGGCCCCATGGTGAGAGACCTGACCAGAAGATGTCAGAGTGAGGCTCTCCCTCCCAGCTGCTCCTGGCCCCATGCATCAGCAGCAGGGCTCAAATAAGGAGGAGGAGCTGAGGACGGAGAACATTCCTATGCTGCTACTTTACCTTCTGCGTTGAGAATCCCCACTGTGGTCCAAAACCTGGCTTCGGGAAGCAACTGTGAGCTCAGTATTATCTGAAGTAGGAGACATCACTCGGATCTCCCTTTCCACACACTCAACAACAAGGGGCCAGGCAGTGACCTGGGTGCTTTGTAACTGTGAGAAAAAGGCCTTGCCTCCTACAGATGTTGGAGTAGGGACCAGTGGAAGTTTAAAGATGCTCTCTCAGGGGCCGCTGCCTACCTGTTTGATGTCCAGCAGCCTTCTGTCCCCTCCCAATATCTTTGGAGGCCTTCCAAGCATCCATTCAGACCTTTCTCCCCTTCCTGTGAAAAGTCAGACAGGGGAAAAACTAACAGTTACATTCCACCATGGAGATGTTCCTACATCATCTAATCTGGTTCCTAAAAAAAGAAATGTAGCATGGAAAGAGAGAGAGAGAGAAGGAAAGAGTATCATCTATGCCAGAAGCAACATTGATTGTTCTCTGTTCACCCCCAAGTTCAAATGCATCCTGATTGTAGTCAAAGGTCCATTGCCAGAGCCTCCTGTGTTGTCTAGAGAAGGCATCTCCATGCTCCTTTATCACCATCATCAAAGCTCACAGTGAAATGCAGAGTGCATCTAGGAGATTCTACCTCCAGCCGTCTCCAAGGCTCCATCTCCACTGTCTTTGAGAACACCCTGGAAGGCCAGGGCAGACAGCCCAACCCCTGTCCCTCCTGCAGAATCTGGTGCCATTGCTATGCAGATGACTTTGTCACTGGACTGTCCAGAGCTCTGTGGGAATTGTTTCATCAACATATCAGCTGTCTCTTCAGTGGATCTTCTTCTTCATCCCTTCTGAAGTCATCATCAGAGGAAACATACTTAAGCACAGCCTCACCAAGACAAAGCAAGATGCCAGCCAGCCTCAGCCACCAGCTTGTGCCTGGAAGGGACTGGAGAGCCAAGTGAGGGACCTGGTTGGATACAGAGAAAAGTGCATACCACTAACCATGGCCTTGGCATTTATCTTTCCATTGTGTTTTCCCATCTACTGATATGCCATTTTGTGTTAGCCAATCAGGCAAATGTGTGCTCAGAAATGTAACACGTGGTTATGACAAGAGGTGTTGACTAGTGGGTCTTGGGAACCTACAGTCTTGAAGGGATCTTAGATAGTGAATGGTCCAGTCTCTACCATAAGCAAGAATCTCTTTAGACAGCTGGGGTTTGTTGTCCACCACTCATGCAGACAAGAGAGGCATTGGAGAAGGTGGTGTTAACAGCATTCCACATCCTTGCCTTCCTTCATTCTCCATGCATTACATGTCATTTCTTCCCATCACTCAGAATGAGCCTCACATGGAGAAGGAGCTGTACCATTTCAAGCCAAGTCCATGTGTCATCCTGCACCTTTCAGGACATCAAGACCCTTTTCATATGAGAGAGCAGGGTTGAGGAAGGCACCTAGGAGTCTGCAGGAAGCATGGAAAGATTTCTTATCCCATGTAGGAGGATGTTGAGATGGTCTCCTTCTCTGTCCCCTGGCTCATCTGTCCATCCTTCAGGGTCAGTATACTTCACTGAGTGTTCGTCATGTGTGTGGTGAGAGCATTCTTCTATCCATAGGAAATCAGGATGTCACCTGCCAAGGCTGAACTCTGGCAGCCCAGAGCAGCACCCTGTGGCATTGCTGTGGACAAAATGACAAAGACACACCAATGTAGGAAAAAGGACGAAAAGTCTAGGGAAAGAGGCATTGGAAGTGGGGAGGGTAATGAAAGAAAACAAAAACAAACCAAAAAACCACCAGAGGTTTTGGCAAAGCAAGTGCCAGGTGGAGACATATGGAATTTCTATCAGTGACTATTGTTTTTCTTCCATGAAGCCATGGGACCTGGCAGGCTTCAGGGTGTATGGGGCGGGGGGAACACCTCAGCTGAGAAGGTATTTTTGCACATATGAAGGGTTGGGGAGGAGAGAGCCATGAACATATTTAACACAGATTTGCAGGATGGAAGGTGTGTGTATGTGTGTGTGTGTGTGTGTGTGTAGGTGCATGGGTGAGTGTGCTTTGATTTTTAAGTTTTGCACAGTTAGAGAAAAATGAACAGTAGCAACAAGAGACTGTTATCATGGCTTTGCTGACATGTTCTCCCCCCTCCCCGGATGATTTTACTGTTGTTATTATTATTATTTTGTCGGTACAGAATTTTTTTCCTTACTTTTGTTAACAAGCAAAATTTCAAACACCTCAGAGAAATACACATATCAGGAGGAAAGAGGCGGGGACGGTCTTGCCTGGGTTTCCTGGATCTCCTGGTTTCCTGGGTCTCCTCGTTTCTCTTGAGGGGGCTTTGGGCAGATTCTTTCACTTTAATTGGTGATGTAGGTTTTTTCTGGTACTTCATAGGCAGTCCTTGTGGCCTGCTTGGGGACTCAGAAATCAAGGCCCATCTTGCTTGTAAAAACAAAAAACAAACAAACAAAACAAAACAAACCCACCAACTTTCCTTTTGCTGTTTGTTTGCTTGTTTGTTTTTGTTTCCCATTAGATTTTTTTTTCTTTTTTGCAAGTGTGATACCTTTAAAAGCAAGGTTAGGCAACGTTGTTTGAAATCTGTCACATCCTCCCAGATATTCCTTCGCAACTCCCCCTTGAGATTCTCTAGCTCCTCTTAGCAGTTAGAGAGACCCTGATGGTCTGTGAGCTCTCAGAGAACGAAGTCAGAGAAACTAGGACATAAGACACAGTGGTGCCTCGCCCCCTGTCCAGAGTTCACTTGCGGGGTGTTGCAGATCTGCTGACGGTAGAACCTTTATTTATCTCTTGGAGTTTGTTCAGAGGGTATGGGTGGGGGAGTAGGTAGCCTCTCTCACATCACCCCCCCCCCCCCCCCCCGCCTTCACCTCACCTCTGCATCCTCCTGCTCCTGACACCACTGGTCAAAATGGTACTACTGATCACACATCCCAAATGACTGACCAAGTGAGGATTTGAATCTTGAAAGGAGAAGACCAGGGAGCAGGGAGTTTGATAGGGTCCTGAAAGCAAAAGACTGGGTAGAAGAAACCTGGGAAGGTATCTGCAGGCTGGTTACTTCTCTGTGGCATGTTTGTCTCTCTAGGTGTGGGCGTGGTCTGGTCATGTCTTCATCCTTCCCTGTAAGGAGACACAGTAATGTTTCTTAGTGCCATGAAGTCATTAGCTTTTGTGTCAGTTACTTCCTCAGGAAAATACTTTCTTGCCTTCTTCTTTCAATACAGTTTTAAACTTGGGGACAGAGGACAAACAGAGAACCCCCCCACCCAGACTAAGGTACTTTGCAACCCCGTGCAGCATGCATGGCCAGAGCCAGCCCCTGGAACCTTCATGATGGGAGTCCACAGACCTGGAGTAAGCTCAGGGTGGGTGCCTGAGTGGGGCCACATTTGGGAAGAGAAATACTTTTAATGAATCCCACAGCTCAAGGCAGAGTATCCAGGACGATTCCAAGGAAGCAGGAGTTGCTAACAGAGAAGTCTTTCTGTGCTTGTAGACTCTGAGAGTCCTGCTTCCACTGGGTTAATGTTGCTATAATACCCAGCACATCCACCACCCTAACATCCCATCCCAGAGGCCCATGGTGCTCATGTACCACCCTACACCCCCACTCCCACCCCATGTGCATGTCTGTCTCCTGACTGTGCCCCACTCTGGCAGCTAGCTTTCTCCCGGTTCCTCCCTGAGGCCAAGGACTGATTTGGATACAGGAGTTACTCAGTTCTTCAGTCCATTAGAAGTGAGTGCTGTCCCATCCTAACCTTGGCTGTTTCCCCTGAGTGAGAGGGTCTCCTCTCCTCCAGCCAATGCCCTGTGGGTCCTCTATTAGAGGAGTCACAAGCAATGGCATCCCAAACGATCTCTAAGAGGCAAGGCTCTGCCACGCTTTCTAGGACCCTGGGTGATGCTACTGTGGTCCATCCTGGCCTAAGCACCTCTCATTTTGACACAAATAGGAGAGGATCCTTTCTGTCTTGTATCCTAGGACTCTCTGCCTTTGGCTTCACCAGACAGCAAGTAAATACTTCATCTTGAGAAAGGCCAATGCTCCTGTAATCAGGAATAAATTTTCCCCCTTCTCACAGAGAGCCCCAGAAGCCAGGAGATGACTGATATGAGGGGGTACTCAGCAGGTGGGAAACTCAGAGGTACTCAGCTTATGTCCCTTCAAAGGGCAGCACCCAGTGACAGTTCCAGCAAGTTCCTAACGGGAGCTTGGGGTTCAGGGGCATTTCTGTGGATGAACCAAGGTGACCCTGTCCAGGTAGCTGGCTGTCCTGGCTCTTCTCTGGCCTTTCCTCCATGTTCCTCATCCACATCAAGGGCCTCCACCCATCCTTTCAGGACAAGGGGGCCCTGACTATACAGCCCTTCCCTTTGGAAAAAAAGCTGTGGGATATTTGATTGGGGTTTTGTAGTTCCTTATTTTTTTTTTGGTCGCTTATCTTAAGAATTTGAAAGTAATGAGGGAGCCTGGCTGTGGATGTAAAATGACTGAGAGGAAGAGTTAAGCAGAATTCTTAAATTCTTCCAGTGACTTCTAAACAGATGAGGCTAGCTTAAATGTGGGAGTGAGAAAACCTCTCCATTAGTAAGGAAAATGGTCCAGAAATTCCCCATGTGAACTGTGAACATGCTAGGGGGAGCATCCTCATGGCTGCTAATACCCTCATGCTTCCCCTGCCCTTTTGACAGACAGAGGCCACTCCTCCCGTCTCTGGTGGATTCACCCCAGGGCATTCTGCATGGAATCAATGCAAGCTTCGTTATTGTAAGTGGGTAGGTGGGGTACCATTCCAGGTAATAGTAAAGGGGCAACTCCCGAAAGAGGCTTGTAAGTTTCTCCTGGTGCTCTGAGAGGCCACCCCATGCCTCCCATTTAGAAAGCAATCACTGCAGGAAATGTTTTTAATATTAGGAGAGACTTTTTGTTTATACTACAAATCATGGCTCTTCAATAATATTGCTTTTTATTAATATTTAGGGAGCATCCAAGTTTTCAAAAGTATTTAAGTCTTTTGGTTGGAAAGACAGACGTCTTCCTTAGCGTCCCGCTGGAATCCCTTAAGTAGACTGATGGCTGTGAGGAAGCTGAGCAAACAGTTCCTGAGGAGCGACGAGAACGTCGTGTTCCAGCTCCTGGAAAAGATGGCGAGGGCTCTGACTGGGGGGGTCCTTGGTTGGGGAGTCTCACATCCCTCCTCTCTTTCCCCTCCTCCCTCTTCCTTGGGTTCCTATCTAGTCCTGGCTCTCCAGGCTGTCTCTGGAATTAATGAATCCTTCATATTGTTTCTCAGCTTCCTTCAAACTACACTGAAGCTGAATTTGGGGCGACCCAAGCCCCCCCCTCCCCAGTAACACAAAAGCAAGTGGACAGTCGCTCCGCCAGTTTCTGCCTCTCCTGCCCCTTTCTTTTGTTTGTATCTTTAAAGACTCAAGCACACGTTGGAAAGGTTCCCGTATGAGAGTAGAGCTCCAAACAGCACCAGTTAAACCAACAGAGGGGACAGTTAAACAGCACCCCCAAAGACACTCTGAAGCAGAGAACACTTCCGCAAGCAGAACTGAGGAAGGCTCCTGTGCAGAGATCAGTTCCATTCGAGCAAGAGGCGAAGATGGGCTATGTGTCCTCACCTATCCTCCCAACCCTTCCCTGCCGTTCTTGTCAGCTTGTAGGCTTATGAAACCTTCTGTTCTTCACAAACAAAAGCTAGTTTACCTCAAAGACTCTTGTTTCCATTTGGAAACCAATGACATGGCTTGAGAATGGATGACCCTCCCCACACCCCTCCACATCCCTCCCTGCCTGGGCCTGGTGTCCTTGGGGCATTAGGTAGTAGCTTCTTCCTGGGTTGGCTGCTCTGCAAAGGGACCAGGTCCCCAGGCCTGAAATGGGAAGGGAGGATTGGATGCAACCTCCCCCCCCCCTCCACCCCCTACTTAGCATGTAGGGAACAGCCTCTGTCTCTTCCAGCAGGGTCCTGTGAAGTTACCATAGCAACTAGCAACTCCAGGTACCACAAAAGACAATAGCTTCAAGCACTGAGGTGTGGGAGAGAGCAGGGGTTCTGGCTTGGTCAGAGCACCCAGAATTAGGCCCCCAGTGCTAGGAGGGCAAAGAAGGAAGAGAGAGAGAAATGGACGCATGAATGGGTTAAGCAGCTGCAGGGGCCTTGGGAGCCTGAGGAGCAAGAGGCCACTGAGAGAGGCAGGACAGATCATTTCTGTTCTCCTCACCACATGCCCGCCCTTCCCAGTGCGCTCCACTTCTATTCCAAAACTCTCACCTTGAATACTGACCCTTCGAGAGCAGAAAGCAAAGTATACCTTTAGACAACAGTGTTACCCTGAGCCTCAAGGACAGGTGAATGGGGTCTCTGAAGAAAAAAAAAAAAAAAGAGGGTCTTCTGGTTTTGATTTTTCAAGAAGAGTATCCTAGTAAGATTAAAAAAAAAAAATTTAAAAAAATTTTTAAAAGAAAACCTATGCTATTTAAATTGGAGCCCAGTTGTAACTTGGTAAAGGCAAGCTTCTGTACCTTTGTTATAATTAATTGTATACCTGTGTATGTAAATATAAGGCATTCCTATTTTGCAGTTCAGAACAAAAAAAAACTATTTGTAATATAGAATAAAGTTTATTAAAAAATAATAAAAATGCAGTTTGAGATTTGGAGTCTTTATGTGACTGTTTGGGTAAGGGGGCTCAGAAGTAGGCAGTGACCTCTACCATGATGATGCCTGGCACCTCCTCTCTCCAGACACTTGAGATCTAATCATCAGAGGGTAACCCCTTCTACCTAAGGTTTTGTTCTCATTTAAGGCAGCCGCATGGGGTGGTGCCTCTGCATGTTCGGGCGAGTAAGTTCACTCCCACGATGTTGACAGCGCTTTGTCAGGGGCCTCAGCTAGCCCCTGAATCTGTCTTAACGGCCCTCCAGCCCTCACCATCAGAGTCTCTTTGCAAAATGCAACAAGTTTTGCTATTCCGCTCTAACTCTTCCTGGCAAGCCACACGCTAGTCTCTCCAACCTGTAAGGCAGGGCCCCTGCGGGCCAGTGTAGATTTACTCACCAGGGAGGTAGCCTCAACCATGGTGAGTGGTGAGGCCACCTGGCCTTGGGAAGGGGCTTGAAGGAAGTGGCCATGGCTGTGCCTATGGCTTGACCTAAGGCTAAGGCCTTCCACCTCCAGAGAATCATACTGGAACAAAACTACTAAGGAAGATCAATGAGGCTTGGGGCGGGGTGGGGGTGGGGGGGGTGGGGGGGGCAACAGCCTCTAGCAGACACAGACAGCCAGCACAAGCAAGTGGCACACCTCAACAGTGACTTTGTGAATGGAAGGAGACGCGGTAGTGGCCTCAAGGCCTGGGGACTGGTTGCTCCGACTCAACCAGCAAAGTAGCTAGTGATCAGCAAGAATGTTCTCTTCTTAGTAAACATGGAGGCAGGGTAGGAAGATGTAGGTTGAGATGCTCCACTCCACCCTATCCCGGCCACATCCCCAGCAGATTTTATCGGTGTAATCTCAAGTTTCACCAGACCCAACCACCATGACCTCGAGCAGACAGACCACTTCTTGGTGTATCTGTTTCCTTATTCACAAAATGAGGCTTGTTTTAACTGTGCTATGAAGCCCAGAAAGGTTTTTTAGTCTGATTTAGATAACTGATTGAAAAGAGATCCGATGTTCTGCAAAAGGCCATGCCAACACACGTGGTCTTATTAGTCATAAAAACAACCCTGTACAATCACAAGTGCATCCGTCCTGCAGCCCCAGTGACATTCAGAGTGGCTGCCTTAGTTACTCATTGGAAAACAAAACAGAAAAACAGTAAATATCTCACACCTTATAAACAAATACCTTCACTAAACTGGGGCTCTTAAAGGCGGTGGCCATTACTCAGTTGAATTTACCCTGGCTTAGCTCAGTAACTGGCTCAGGACATACTGTGGATGAACTGAAGGAGGGAAAAAAGCTGTACACAAAAGTAATCAACCACTGAGTTGGTCCCTGAACTGTCTTCCCACTGTGAGCATGGGGTCATCATTTTCCTCCATGGACTACATGTCCCATGAGTACCTCATCTTCAGGATGAGAACTGCAGCTGAGTGCTGTCTCTTCCAATTAGAGAAAAGGTAATATAATCAAATTAGCAGAGTTGCTCCTGGCCTAGCCAAGGGAATGGAGGCCTGGGAGGGTCATTTTAGCACCTTGCACCTCCTCTAAACCCACCTGATGTTTGTTTCAGAAAAACACTTGCCTTGAATATGGAGGCAGAAACTGTAGAGCTGCTGAGGGAACCCACTACAACTAAGGACACATGTATGATTTGGGAGTCATTCCTAGAGACAACTGGAAGTTTATACTACTGGACCATAATTTCTACTTTCCCTCTCTGGGTGAGCAATACAACATCCCACTCCAATAAAGTGCATCTGGCCCACAACTTGCTTCCAAGCAGTGAACTATGAGAGCTGAATGATATAAACACCTGAAGTGCTCCAGGGAGCAGCTTGCCCCATCAACCTGGACAACGACAGCGGAAGAGTCACTAGGTGATCCTGGTAGACACACAGATTAAGTTAAAACTCAATCTTTGCTTCTCTGTATCGCCGGGATGTGAGAGCTCTTGTTACCGAGGCATAGCAGAGTCCACCCTGGCTGCTCCTGGGAATAAGAGGTTTATTCTGAACAGTGCAACTGATGAAATTAGCACTTTCACCTACAGAGAACACAGAACTGTTCTTATGACCAAAAGGTCTCTCTTTTCCTTCTTCCCTCCCTCTCTCTCTCTCTCTCTCCCTCCCTCCCTCCCTCCCTCTCCAGATTTTAGAATGCTAAAACTAGATTTTAGCATTCTCTTGCATCTCTTTTGGGTTTCTCCCCCTCCCGCCCCCCCCTCTCCTTCCCTTCCTCATCCCTCCCTCCTTGCCTCCCTCCCCGCTTCTTTGACAGGCACTCACTTCTTAGTCCAGGCTGGCTTCAGGCTCATTACCTTCCTGCCTCTGCCTCCTGAGTCCTGAGATTTCAGGTGCTTGGCTTGGTTCAAGTCTATTAAAAATATAACACTAGCCGGGCGGTGGTGGCGCACGCCTTTAATCCCAGCACTCGGGAGGCAGAGCCAGGTGGATCTCTGTGAGTTCGAGGCCAGCCTGGGCTACCAAGTGAGTTCCAGGAAAGGCGCAAAGCTACACAGAGAAACCCTGTCTCGAATATATATATATATATAACACTGACTATTTGCTCGTGAGATGAGTCCATTTTTTTTTAATGCTCCTAATTTTCCTGAGCGGGGCCTGGGACAGATTAGAACTGAAGGGAAAAACTAAGAGAATGAAGGAATGGTAGGAGGACAACTGACCAGGGAGAAGTGAGACTTATCAGGAAAGGATGAACCCACCCAGCGTTGTAAAAAATAACCTATCGTTTTCTGGCATTTTGATTCTGATCCACAATCGGAAGTGGGGGAAGCAGATGACTCATACTCTTTGCCTTCTTGTCCCGGGCACTTCAGGAGCCATGGATTCATTGTCACATCTAAGAATCACACCAAGCACAATTGGTCCCTCAAATGACACAGAAATGATATCAAAAAACCCTAGTCACAAGATACATGTCTCTTAAGGGGAAAGGTCTCAAGTTTTTGGGGAACACACAGTTTGTCAAAATGCACAAGAATGAGCTTAACAAGATACAGGCAAATGATGCCAAGGTCAAGAGTGCATGTGCCAAGGATATTAAGCCCTCACTTCATAAAACACAAAGAGGTAGAGTCCAAGATCCAAAAGGGTGTCAACCACAAGCTCCATCAACTTGACTGCCTCAGCCACTCCAAGCCTATGAAGCATGCTCATGCTCACATTGACACAGACCACAATGTCCAAAGCTGTCTTCTGTGGGTCAGACCAAGGCTCCATCAGAGGCTCCCAAAGGTGTCCAGGCCTCCATGAAGGTCCATAGAAAAGGCCTCTGACAATATAAGGACAAATGGACTAGTGTGATGATGTGACTCCCCTGCCCCCAGTGGCCTTCTGCAGGTGATTAGTGTCCTGAAACTGAATCGTAAGTACAGACAAAAGGAATAGGGATTCTATTTTCAACCTACACCCTTCTCAACATGAGAGTTGCCTCTCCAGGCTCTTGCTGAAAGTGTGACACCTAGAAAGATGCTGCCTAGTTTTAGGAAAGGCCTGATAGTCCTTCTAAGACACCAGGGAGGAAAAATACATCCTTTTCCCCCAACTCTTCACAGGCATACAGTGAGAAGGACCTTCCCACCCATACCACATAGGAGCCACAGCCTGGGCTGTTCTCTAATCATTCCCACTGCACCACCCCAAACTCCACTAAGTCACTAGGAAGGTACCCAACCCCTGCACTAGGAATCTCTCTTTCATCATAGGACACACCCTGTTTCCTCAAACCGAATAACCTCAGATATGCTTGAGCGGTCCTTACTGCCGAACCACACTTTCTATTCCTTTTCCCACTTCAGCTTGTCTTCAGCTCTTTGTGTCCCATGAACAACACAAATGTAAGATGTCACCGCTGCCACCACAAAGCTACATTCACGGCTCATCCATGCATGGACTTCCACCTCCAGGATCAATTCCTGATTCTCCTTTGTGCCCTGATCATACCGAGTAAAGAATACAACCGTGGCCTGGCTCAAATATACCCTGTACTGACCAGATCTTTCTAGAGCAAGTTCCTAACAACCTGTAACCCTCAATTTTTGTTTTGATTTTTTTTTTTTTGTCTGTCAGGATGAGAACAATGGCTTCTTTCTCGTAGGATTGTTGCAAATGAGATAATGATTGGAGTACTCAGCACAGGTCCCTGACACCTTGTAACTTGGTGGCAGCTTCTTCCGCTCTGGACAACACACTTGTGAAGAACCTTGCATGCTCTCCCTCCAGCCCTAGTTCATAGGATAGCACTTGGCATGTCGTAGTTGCCCTGAAAATGTGCCTTAAATGAACAAATAAAATTAAGCAGCAGTAAAATTTTTCAACAGTACAGTCTTACAATTTAGCTATATATCAGCTTCTCAGCGGACTTTGGAAATGATAACAAAAGATTACAAGTACCTGAGTTCCCAAGCCAGCACCTGATACAGGGGCTTGCAAGCAGGTGGTCCTGAGGGAGGGGAGTGAGGAATAGGGAAGCAAAGACAAGCCAATCCAAACTGTCTCTCTACCACGGGCAGCAGGGACTTCACTCCTCTGGATCTGTAAAAACTGTAGAATGACCCTTGGGGTGGCTCTCATTCCTCATCGCCTAAAGACTGCCCAATGGCTATTTACTCATCCCTACCTCTAAGTGAGCATGTTGGAATGGCTAAGTGGCTTCCCTAGGGACTCTATCAATTGAAGCAGAGGAGCCAAAGGACAGAAAGGGAGATATGGCTTCCTTAAACAGATGTTGCCAGACTACAGATGAATGTCACCTGGCTAGTGTGAGGACAGCTGGGATAGAAAGGTAGGTTGATGGGATATGCGGTGGAGCAGAGTGTCTGCAACACAAGATGTAATCCTTTAAACCCCTTAATTCATTCTATAAAAGCAATATTAGAGTCATTTCAAATGATATTTTTCTGGTAAGAATCCCCAAATTTCTTCTGCTTATTCATTTTTCCACTGTTCCTTTTGTTCGCCTGAACTC